GATTTAAATAAAGCAAAGGACTCAAGTTTTGGCTACCACTAATCCTCTATCCTGGCCTTCTCGACTTGACTGCTTTCTTTGTAGACTGAGGCTGTCAAACCCTTTTCACATGAATGCATCTATCATATAGGCCAGGGGTGGGGAACCTTTTTTTCCAAGAGTCATTTATTTATAACATCATTTGAGGGCCATACAAAATTACCAACTTAAAATTAGCCTGCTATGTTTGGTCAAACATTTAATTAACTCACCCCTAATGCCTTGCCAGGGCCAGACCAAATGATTTTGCAGGACTTATGCAGCCTGTGAGCTGGATGTTTCCCAACCCTGATGAAGGCTGTACCTCACCCAGCCCCAGCTTAGAAGGAAATTTTGTGAACTCAACAATTCATTTCAAAATATCTTTTTATTATAAACTTATTACACTTATTAATAGAAAATTTGGAGAACACAGAGAAAAAAAACTCCATTGTTCTACCACCTAAACAAACCTGATCTTGCTTTCTGGGTGAGCTTCCCTCCTGCCTTTTAATTCATAGGATTTACAAGAAAACAAAGTAAACATAATTGTTCATACATAACAATTTTGTATCTTGCCTCGTTTACATGATAAGCATTTTTGCTTATTTCTACATTTTCTTTATGAACATGGTTTTTATTAGCTGCACACAGCATTCCACGAAGAAGGTAGATTATGGTTGAAAGTTGCCTGGATTTTTTTTTTTCTGCGTTCACCTAGGGGAGGGAGAGAAAGGAAAGATGGCCAGGAAGAGCTTTTTCTGTTCAAGATTCCAAGGAAAGCATCTCCAGGTCTGGTTTGCTATTCGGTCCTCATTCTGGTGTGCCCTCCTAACCCTGACCTGTAAGCCAGCTGCCGTGGAGGCACTGATTGTCCTGCTGCCGCGCAGAGACTTACTGATTTGAAATGAAAACACTTCTTCCACCCAAAGAGAGAGAGCGAGAAGAGAGCCTAGAATTAAAATCTCACCTTTGTAACTGCAGGACCTGCTTCTTCAAACATAGCACCCAGAACTGGGGCTGATTACAGAGTACTTGTCAGTAAGAGGGCCAAGTTATGAAAGGGTAACTTGTTTGGTAGTGCTGCCTTACTGTATCCAAGGCACACGCTTCCCACTTTGAATTACGTATTAACTAGTGTTGCAGATTACGCTGCCTTGAAGAGAGAGAGAGCCCTATTTAGTCAGCTGGGGGACATAACCTGCTCCCCTTTGGAGGCCAGTTTAAGTTCACCTTCATGAGCTTCAAGAGGTTTTGACTGTAGTCAGCCCAGAGGAAGTCGATGGGATGGATGGATTGGGGGAGAGCTGGTAGCCTGGCTGCCACCCTCCATTCTGCTTTGCTTGGCTAGAAGCTGTGGGCTGGATGCCATGGAGGAGCACTGAGGCCTGAGGTCAGAGGGTGAGGAGGAGGCAGCCTGTGGAGCTAGAATAGCCCTCCGGCCCTCCCCCACCCAGTCACTCACCAGGAGACCAGCAGAGCAGAGCAACACCAGGTTACTGGCAGGGTTTGTCCCACGGCTTCAGGCAACAGTGATGACAAGAGAGATTGAATGGCGGGCTCCTATTGGTGCAAGGTATTTGAGCATTTCATGAGTTTCGATTTGAAATTGAGTGGAAAGGTGAAATCTTTGTGAAACTGTCAGCTTCGGTTACCTCAAACCCCCCAAACCTTTGAGAATGGCCCTTTCAACCTTCCAAACTGTAGAAGTTATACCTCCACCTCTACCCTCACTTGTGCCCCAACTCCTTTTCCTGAAGGCAGCACCAACAATCCTCATTACGATCCCATCTCAGCCCTGTGTTGTGGTTTATCTGCCTCCTAACAGGTTTCCTACACCCCATTCCTGGTCCTTATCACAAAATACCACTGGCGCAGCCATCCCCAAACAATACTTTCAATCTATTACTACCTTGCTCAGACATCTTCAATAGTTCTCCACCATCTACCCTATAAAAATCCATACTCATTTGGTCATTCATGGCCTTCCAGAATCTGTCCCTAGCATCTTTCTCAGCAGCTAGACTTTCTCTCAGGCACTTCCTATACAGCAGACCCTGTTCAAGTTCATCCAGGCCTCTCTTTCCTGTCCTTCCAACACACCTCACCCATTGCTCTATCTGCTCCTGGTCTGTGTTATTATCCCATCTAGACTGTTCTTACCTTTCTACACACTCAGCTCAAGTTCTCCGTGAAACTCTGTCTAGTCCATTCCAGCTTACAGAGATCTCTTTCCTAAAATTATCAAACTCTCTGGTTAGATTGGCTCATAAACTGCCTTGTATGGTGACTTACTTTTTCAAGTATGAATTTGTCTTTGACGTGGATAACCCTCTAGATGGCAAGGACCAGCCTGAAACTTCCCAGTGGCAAAGTACCATTATCTGCTCGGAGCAGCTCAGAGTTTGTTAAATGAATGTTGAAATGAAGTACAAATAAGGGTACAACTGAGCAGAATAGGAGGCTTATCCCTCTGGAACCTGAGTAAAAGCCAATTCACAACATCTGAATTGACATTTTTAAGCGATTGGGTATGGAATTAGTCCTATTTCTAAATCCCCAGTGGTAAGCAGAGATAAAGCTGAGCTTTATTGTATCAGCTCCTTAAAGATTCCCCTACCCACCAACTCCTGAGGAGATGAATGTAAACAAGGCACTGAAAACTGGATGGTAATTAAGGACAGACCTTCCCTGGCATAGACTGACTGGCCACAAAGGTAAAGCTGCCCGATAACCCCAGATCTCTGGCCCTGCAGATTAGAAAAAAAAAAAAAAAGAGAGAGAGAAAGAAAATTTACTCCCTTGGGAAAGCCAATTGGTTATGGGCAGAGTGTTTTCTCATGATGTTGTAGCTGGACCCACTGTTCATTTAGGATGTTTTAATTGTGCGTACCCCACCCACCCCCTGTAAAATTCCCTGGAGCCAACTGAGCAGAATGGGACAAAGTTGGAGCCTTCGAGATTAACCTGAGATGATCCTGGAACAGCCCCAGGCAACTCGCACTGGAGAAGTCATGTTGCTGTTGCCCTGAGGGCTAACGGGGTCTTCCCAAACTGGCTGCCCTATTCCTTAAAAACAGGTCACTTACGAGCAGCCAGTTGGTTGGCTATGACTCAGACACATTTTTTGCCTGGTCAGTGGAATGCATTTTTTCAACATTTGAATTAGCTTCTAACACTGAAAAATTAGGAGATTTCGCATAGAAATCTGGATTTCTGGCTTCTCTTGATAACAGAATACCTGTCTGTGCTGGGCCCTCCCTCTCACAGGGACATCACCTTTAAATGGGGGAGTCACTGCTCAGCAGGTGGACACACTCCTTTTGGTCCCTGCCTAATCTCTGCTTGTTTTTTCCCCTAAAGATTGCAAGTTTGGGTGGGAGGTAGAATCAGATAATCTCTGGCAACTCCAGGCTCTGAGACACCCCAGGATATACAAGGTTAGAGGAGGTGGCCCGGGGCTCTGTGAGACCAGAATGCAGTCTAGACAAGGCATTCATCATGAGCAGGGACCTCTGAAATTCCTGTCACATCCTGCAGGGATGGGCATGTAGAATCCACAGCATGGCAAGTGGATGCCGTTTACTGAGCACGTAATTCTCAGCCAATCTCTTCAATCCTTATAACAACCCTGAGAAGTAGATACTGGATCCCATTTCTAGGATGAAATACTGAGGTTAGTGCCTAGCTGCCTGACTCCAGAGCCCTCCTTTTACTTAACCAAAGGCTTCTTTCTCTCCCTGTGCATGATTAGCTTTTTAAATCACACACACACACACACACACACACACACACACTAGAGGCCTGGTGCACAAATTTGTGCACTGGTGGGGTCTAGCTGACCCACGCCTGATGGGGGCCATCAGGGGCAGGCCAGCCAGGGCAAGGGGCCATGGGCATTCTGGTCATTCTGCTGTTCAGTCAATTTGCATATTACCCTTTTATTATATAGGATTTTTTATTAATTTCAGAGAGGAAGGTAGAGGGAGAGATAGAAACATCAATCATTAGAGAGAATCATTGATCAGCTGCCTCCCGCATGCCCCACACTGGGGATCAAGCCCGCAACCCGTGCATGTGCCCTGACCAGGAATCCAACCAGGATCTCCTGGTTCATAGGTCAACACTCAACCACTGAGCCACACTGGCCAGGTTGATTGGCTTTTATTAGGGCCAGTCTTAAGTTCAAAACACACTGCCATTGTGTATTCAGTACTGGTTTTTAAAAGCACATAATAAAGGATATTTAAACGATGTATCACATTAGTGATGGTTTTTTCAAGCAAAAGTATAAAGTGATTTGATACCTATAAGGCAAGCTGGGAGTGGGTGGAGTAGGTGTGCCAGGGGCCTTTGCTTGCCTGGGCAACTGAGGAGTCAGTTCTGTGGCCCAGAGTGAGTGCCCTTGGGCAGGCAAATAAGTCCCTGAGCCCTTAGGACTTCTGACAGGAGCAGCTTGTAGACTGTAAACCAGGTTCCTATAAATCTGTGGCAGCTTGGGAGGAAGTGGATCATCTCAGGTGTGCTTGAAGGACACGTACATTTACTTCCTACTAGTCTTTAATTATAGTTTCCCAAGTTTTTCGGAGATTGAGAAACTTGGTGTGTTCAGCTGGTTCTAAACTTCCTCTGCTAACAAGTCCCTACCTCTCCCCAACCCCACCCCACCTCACCCAAGTCTAGCACCAGATTTTAGGGACCTGGAAGGCCCCAAGATAAGGTCAGTTGGGAATTTAGGGGGTCATGGGTGTCGGGAATAACTGGGGAGGAGGTATTGGTTTTGGCTTTAAGACGCTGGAACTTGGGAGGTTTTTACAAGACTATTTGCATCTTTTGCAAACAACCTTAAAGTCATTAGCGCCCCACTGCGGAATTCAAAGCTAAGCTTGTCATAATTGTTAACACCTTCTTTGACCATTTGACAATTATTCGCCTCTGCGCCTTTTATTTATTTATTTTTATTTATTTATTTTTGCCGGCAGGAAGGTTCCTCTGTCTTGGTTTTAGGGAGCACCCTATACGGGGAACAGCCCCTTCGCGTGCAGAAGTCAGGGGAAGATTGCTACCGGCTGGCAGGGTGAGTACATCTCCAAGCTTAGAAAGCGGGTTATACTGAAAGTTCACGCTCCAGGTTCTAGGTTGAGCGCAATGACCGCCTTCCCCTGGGCAGCTGGCTGTACCCCAGACGAGCGCGGAGAAGCTCGGCCTTTGGTGGGGTTGGGGGAACCCAGTTTTCGAAGGCGCAAAGTCAGGGGAAGATTGCTACCGGCTGGCAGGGTGAGTACATCTCCAAGCTTAGAAAGCGGGTTATACTGAAAGTTCACGCTCCAGGTTCTAGGTTGAGCGCAATGACCGCCTTCCCCTGGGCAGCTGGCTGTACCCCAGACGAGCGCGGAGAAGCTCGGCCTTTGGTGGGGTTGGGGGAACCCAGTTTTCGAAGGCGCAAGAGACTGCGAGTCGCTGCAAACCGGGGGAGCGGCGTCC